TTCACATTAGCTGTGTACCAAACTCAATACTGAAAGATGACTCTGTGTTGATTTTCCAGACTGGCAAGCAGAAAATTGGCCAAATACATATTACTAAGCACATGTTAGACAGTGTTAAGCACTAACAGTTTAAAAAATCATAAAGACAAAGAGGCACATCCATCTTCAACTGATGGACTTTCAAAAGATGATCTATTGCTGAGGAGTCTCACTAGCATTCAGTGTCATCCTTGAAGAAACTGCTTTACACCAGCACCATCACGAGAAACTTCCAGCCCCGGCAATCTGAGTGTGTATGGAGAAAGAGTGCACTGAGCCTCTCACTCATGTATATGTCAACATTATGTGTTTAATGAACTGCTTTTTCACAAATCCTGTGAGAATAGCAGTCTTGTGCGTATAGCTGTTTGCAGGGCTTAGGTACAGAACTTGGGATACATGCAAGCGCCTTGCGAACAACAGGGCTGTTCCATAACTATAGGCAAAGTCAAACATATTTATCAGTCCCTCCCTCCCACCTCCAGTTGCATGGTACTATCTGTATTGCCATCACATTTGGATGAGAGGAAAGGATGGCCATTCTGGAGTGGGAAATGGAATGAAACAGAGGATGAGAGGCTTAAAACCTTCCGTTCTTCCATTTCCAGGAGCTAGACATACTGCAAAGATACAGGACTCTTCGGTCTGGAGAGAAAAAAGCAAAGGGGAATTAAAAAACAATGTAGGTGAAGTGAAACTGAACTGTTGTTCACCAAAACCTGCAATACTGAAACTAGGGAAATTCACCGGAATTAGAGATAGAGTGTTTTAAAACACATATAAGAAAGTACATTTTTACTCAGTGGATAGTGAACTTCTGTAAAGTGTTGCCACAGGAAGCTGTGGGGGCAGATTGTATCAGCAGCTTCAAAAGGGGATGGACAAATTCATGGCCCATGGGTTGATAAACAGATAATAAGGAAAATGAGCAGGGATGTACCCTGTGATACAATGAGTGTGGCTTACGGTGATGTGTGAGGAAATGAACTCAGAAGGTGGCAAGGCTCCTGAACATTCTCTAAACAGCCTCTCCTATCGCTGCAGTCAGTGACTGCAGTACAGGGCTGCAGCATCCTGGCCTTTATCAGCAATAGCACAGCCAGCAGGGCCAGAGCAGCGATCATCCACCTGTATTCGGCACTGGTGAGGCTACTCCTTGAATATTGTGGTTAATTCTGGGCCCAGCACTACAACAAAATCACTGAGGTGTTGGAGTGGGTCCAAAGAAGGGTCTAGAGCACAAGTCCTGTGAGGAGTAGCTAAGAGACCTGAGGTTTTTTTAGCATGGACAGGTCTCCCCTGGAGACTCAGGGAAGACCTTATCACTTTCTACAACTACCTGAAGGGAGGTAGTGGCAAGGTGGGTGCCAGACTCTTTTCCCAAGTAAGAAGTAATAGGACAGAACAGCCTCAAGTTGCACCAGGGGAGGTTTAGATTGGATATTATGAAAAATTTCTTCACTGAAAGGGTTAATCTTGTCAAGCATTGGAACAGGCTGCCCAGGGACGTGGTGCAGTCACCATCCCTGTGGAGGTATTTAAAAGACATGTAGATGTGGCAGTTAGAGTTTAATGGTTTAGTGGTGGACTTGACAGTATTAGGTTAATGGTTGGACTTGCTCTTAAGGGTCTTTTCCAATCCAAATGATTCTATGATTTGTAATATTATAAGAAGTGTGTATTCAAGACCAGGAGTCTGAGATAACTTCCTATTTCTGCTCAGCAGCCAAGCATAGCTGTGGCAGCAGCTGGATTGCAGTTTGGAAATGTGCCTATGGGGATTGGCTCTACTCTGACTAGACTGAGGAGACAAGTCTCTCTACTTGATGAGGTTGCCTTAACAGCCACACAAACAGCCACAAATGATTGTGTTTACAGAGGCTGTGAAGTGAAGCTACAGCCAAGTCCTTGTCAGTCTAAGCATGGAGAGCATCCTTCCTGGATGCTTCTGTGGGCCACAAGAAAACCTGAGTAATTGTGATATTTTAATACTATACAGCTTTGTGAATTTGCTTTGAAACAATTCTGATCTACAGCAAGTAATCACATAGCTAATGATTTATTTTTTTAATTGAAGCAAATGAAAATAATCTACTTATATCAAGTTTAGAAGAGTGTGACCAGTTTTTACGTTAAAGCCAAACAGGATGATTCATCTAATTACAGTTCTGACAGCCTGATATCAATCCTGGTCAAATTATTGGAATGACTGATACAGGACTTGATTTGTTAAGAATTAAAAGAGGGGAATATAATCAATAGCAGCTAAGAGGGCTTTACTGAAAATAGATTGAATCCTAGTATATTGTTGTTTTGTTTTGTTTTTTAATGAGCTTTCATGTTTAATCTATAAAGGTAATAGAATAAATAAACAACCACATAAGTTGGTATGTGCAACACTTTGAGAAACTGTACACATCTAAACTGTACTGATACGTACATGATATGTAATAAAAGAATGATAAACTATTTAACCCGCAGTGTCCAAATGTAGTCATACCTTTAGTATCACCAGTGGGCTATCACCTGGGGCTTTTTACAGGTGCTAATGGGTTCAGCTGCAGGGCCCAGACTTGCAACAAAATTCTGATGCTAATGATGTTTGAAGATCACACAAAAAGGTGTGTAAGCAATAACTAACAAAGAGACTAAGGCAGACAGCAGCATAGACTGCTTTTCAAGTTAGTTGAACATGCACTTCAGGACATTGTACATCCATGGGACAAAAAATGTGGGCAACGCTTGAGAATGGGGGAATATGTCCTGTTGAGCAGTGGCTTTGAAAAGTAGTGGTGAATTGGCATTGCTGAGATGACTATGAAGCCTGACTATGGCCAGTCATAGCACTGTGGTGCAAGCTGGTGAGAAAGCTTGAGTAGCATTGCTGCACTTCTTAACCGCCCTTCCATGATTTCTTGATTTCGCTTCTGCAGAAACAGCTTTTCTATAATGTGCTTTCTTCTGCTCGCTCTCTGTGGGGTGATTCTCGTTTACCCTTAGAAGCCCCATCAGCCCTGGACTTTTTCTGGAGGAATACAGCACAAGCTTCTATTCGAGGACAGACAGGATGAAACATGTTCCAGAGGAGCCCGTTTCTCTTCACTGCGAGAAGGTGAAATCTCGAAACTGGATTAGACTAAGCCCCTTCCTTATAAAGAGCTAAAAAGGAATAAAATGAATCCTGCCTGATAACCAGAATTTTAGTGATACTTAGAGACCACAAATCCTTTTGAGTGTGAATGTTGATCAGACTATCTGGCATGGAAGTTGATGAAGCTTTCTTTCTAGTCAAGATAAAATGACAATATTTGTTCAAATGGTTTGAAGTGGTTGTCGGTGTTCCCTAGAGCTGTCTATGATCCTTCAGACCAAAAGATCTTACAATACTGAAATTAATATACTTTGTACCACAAGCACCTGCCATATGACATGGAGGGCAAAGATAATGTGTTACAGAAGCTAATACACTGCAAATTATTTTCAGGGGCTTGAGTGAGTTCAGCAGCAGAAACAGGTAAATTAGAACATCTTTAGAAATGCACTAAAGGAGTTTTGAATTGAGAAGCTGAGAAAAGAACACTTGGACAATGAAACAAATGTTGGTTATAATCAAAGCTATATATCGTGAAAGACGAATTGTTGATGCGATGTGAAAATCTGTGTGATCTTGTTTATTGTTTTAATTGGCTACATCTCAATTAGGTGCCATGAAATGATTGATCTCTCATCACAGATGTTTTTCAAGTTTGGTTTTAGTTTTAACAGCTGGGTATAGTTGTTACAAGTCATTAACTGAAACAGCAATTTTCTTTAAACAGTTCTGATGACACAAATTAGCTCTATGGTTAGAATATTCCTTTTTCCTCAGGTATTGCAGATGCATAGACCATATAGTTAAAAAACATTTCTTACGCTTTGAGTGAAATCCTGTCTCACTGAAGTCAGTACATTATCTTCAATGGAGGTGGATTTTCATCCAGTCTCTCCAGTACTTCTGATTTCTATGACCATTGAATTGTTACACTGAACACAGTAGTAATACTTGCCTGTGCTTGCAGGGTGGACATATGAGTAGAGAAACTGGAGGCTTCTTATAAGGAAATATTTCTAGAGCTTGTTCAGGGTTGTCAAAGAAAACTGTTAGTGTTAGAATGCTTTTAAAACACTTTCAGCGGGAACAGTCTGATTTCAGACAGTTCCAAATGTGTTGAGAGGATGTTTGAAATATTTAATTCCGTTCCTTTCTCCTGAATGTTCATTAACTTTAGAAAAAAAAAATTCATAATGTAAGATTAATGCCATAACTTTAGGACATCCATAGCCTGAAATGACTGACCAGTGAAATGGCAAACCTTAATACACATATAGCGATAAACACTGTGAAATTCTACTCATTAACTTGACTGAGTTAATTCACCTTCATGTAGTGACTATGCTACAATGATATTGGTAAATGTTAAATAACTACAGTGTCATACATTTCGATGGTGACTTTAGATCCAGCCTCCCACCATTCAGAGTTCAGAAAAGTAATGGCTAACTTAAACATATGGATATAATCAGAGTTCTTCAGCATACTGAACTGCTTCTACCACAAAGTGAAGCAATGAGTAAATTAATTGGAAGCTTTAGTGATAAAAGTGTTTATTTGCAATAGGAAATAGCTATGGCAATCTGAATTCAAACCAAACATGTACACTGAAAAAAAACCCAAATTGCAGCAAGCAGAATCATTTGTTTTTCAGAAGGCTTTCAGAATCTGTTTGGGAAATTTTGGAGGCACATGCAAGTGAAACTAGTATATACCATCTTCCTCGGACACAAGACATGGAACTGAAGAGGACAGGGAATACTAAAGAAAAGCGTTTAGTTTTTCATTTTTTTCTTGCTAAAGGAGATAGATAGCTGGATGTGGAGATAACAGGCACAGATAACAGAGATAATCAGCATTTAGATTTTTAATGTTTCATAAATACTTACTATGAATTTGTTGTCCTGTGCTCATCTTAAAGGATGTTGGACCATTGAGGAACATGTATCTTAGGTGTACAGATGCAATGCTAGTGAAAAACTCTGAGTCTGAAGAGGTTATAACTACAAATCTGAGGACCATCAGTGCTGATATGTGTATTGAACGCATATTACAGGCAATCATTCAGGATTCTGTGTCCTTTCAGCTCATCAGAAGGAAGATTTTTTCTTGAAAATCTATTTTAAATATATTTAAATTATTTTGAAATATATAATAAATAATAAAATGCATTTAAAATAAAAGTTCCAAGTCTTTACCATATTTATCCCAGCTGGAGAAGAAGATAGTATGGGGAATTCAGTTACCCTGTGCACCTCCATGAAAACAGCTCATTGAAAATTTCTGGTAGCATGGAAATAAATTTCCTCCAACCTTTCCTCCATGCTCCTGTTCCTTAATGTAATTCACCACATTTAATATAATTAATTTGGAAAGCAGGAAGAGCAGTTTTCCCAAAGGAATTTCCTGACTTACAGCGATTTTACATATTCAGCATAGAGACAGCAGTGGTGGAGCATACTCCAGCTATTACCTCCTAATGGACATTTACCTCACATCACTACTGTTTTCCTCAGCAACGTAGCTAGGTAGATTCAATTTAAATTCCTTCCCTTCTATAATTGATTTTTTTATCTAAGCATGCGTGTTCCAGAACCTTTTGCTTTGGGCAGTAATGACCACCCAGTGCCCAGTCAGTCTGCAAGTCACCTAAGCATTCCCTGGAAATACCAGCATTGCAAATTGAGTACCAGCTCAAAAAATCCTCTTTCCCAATGAGAAAATGGGAAACATCTTAGCTACTATTAGCTTTGTGTAACTGTGAAGTAGACAACATGGGAGGACCACAATAATGTTTGTAAAATGATTTGTGAGTGCTTAATGAGGGAAACTGTATGCATTTTAACAATTATTCAAGCCTATGTGACTGAATTTGTGAGGTGAAATGGAAAAGCACTATAAAGTAAATAATAATTTGACATTTCTCTGTGGCAAAGAGTAGTGAAGAAGGGATGGAGAGTAGTAAATATGTAATAAATCCAATATTTGAGTCTTCCTGAATCAAATATTTACCTAATGGGAGGAAAAGGATCACATCTTTCCCTCTTGGCTCATATATTATGCAGGTGACTTGCAGAATCTGTCTCTAACTTTCAGTGTTTGTTTTAAAGGAAAAGCTGTGTATTCTAATCTAAACTTGGAAAGGACTATCAACCTGGTAGGAGTTCCCCCATACACTGTACATGTAGATGTTCAACAGTAGGTGGTGCTCCCAGGGTAGAAATGTACATAGTCTAAAATGCAAATTACAGAAGATTTACTGAGGAAGAGCTCTTTGGGGGGTTTTAGTATGGTAACTAAAAATTATTTCAAGTGCAAAACCTCTAAAAAGATATTAAATATTATACTAACTGGTTCTTAAATCCTGTGCGAAGATTTGACTGCTCAGACATGGAAGATGCACATTTTTCAGTCTGCTCTTTTCCTTCCAAATACTCATGCAACAAATTGTTCACTCAGCTTATACTCTATGATATTTCTATCCATGTGCTTTATTGCCAGATGTCATTCACATTTGCTGAGAATGTAAGTATCAAATCCAAATTACCTACATGGTTTTCTCAGTTGTTAAATGTTTAATCTGTTTTATGAGCAATTGTGCACTTTAAGTATTCTTTTGAATTACAGCCTGGATTTATAGTGCATGCCATGGGATTCTTAAAATTCCCAGAATCTTTTAAAAGTCATATGTAGCAGTAGAAGCCAACATTTTGTGTTGGGTTTCTTTGCTGTAGGCATTCTTCATTCAATATATATTTGCTTTTCAGTTTTGTTGCTTAAATTTTGTGGTACAAATATGGTCTCACATATGCTTTATATGACCAGGGAGCTTCACATGAGGGACATAAATTAGTACACTCAAAATTGAATGGCACTGTCAGAACATCCTACAAATTTTTAATGAAATATAGGACTAAAAAGATCAAGTGTCCCAAATAATAGCTTTCAATGAGGAGGATGTCAGGTTTTGTGGGGTTGGTTTTCTTTTAGTGAATATTAGACTTTCTTTGCCTGTTTATATTTCTGTAGTTCAACAGCATTTGCATAATATACTATTTGTTTATGCACAGTCTGACAAATCTGGTAATTTGCAAACAGTGTGTTTTGTTAATTATAGTAGGTGCTTTGGCTATTTATGTATTTGAGCAGCTTGAGCTAAATTGAGAGAATAAAACCAATGAGGCAGGAAAGTCCAATTAAAAGTACATTAATCAAATGCCCCCCAAATGCCTTTCCTCTCTAATACATATTGTTGCATTTTATGTAGAGTGCCTGTTTGATGTCAATTGTCCTTCTGTATCTAATGCAGTATCTTGTTCAGTCAGTGTGCAGTAATAAATGTAATTGTCAAGTGCCTGGTTTGGGATGCTTGATGTTACATTTTTATAGATTTTATAGTTAATTTGAATTTTAAAGCATTCTTCTTTTTAAGGTTAACTATAACCAAGAAACAAAGAGACATGAGAAAGTGACTAACTCCCATGTTAAGAAACGACTGTTTAAAACACAGGCTACTTTTGACCTCCCCTAGTTGCAGCAGATTACCCTCTCATCTCCACTGGAAAAAGTAGAAGTAGACTCTGTTGGTTTTCATATAAAATTCAAAATGGAAAAGTGCTTCCCCAGAGCACTTAACATTTGTTCTCTTCATATCCAGTGAACAACGTTAGCTTGACTCAGCTTCTAGTATGTTAGAGATTGGAAGGGACCTCAAAAGATCATATAATGTCATAAATCAAGAGTAGGTCTACGGCAGCCCATATGAAAAGTTTATTTTGCAGCACTGATGCATCTCTCAATAAAAAAATGAGGACTTGGACTTGTTCTGAAACACAAATTAGGTAGTCAATTAGTCTGAGAGTTGGACACAGAATCCCACTTCTTTGATCCGTAACAGCATCTTTATGTGACGGCAGGAAAAACTTTTACGACTAGAACTCAAAAACAAACAGACAAAAAAGAGGTGAAATTAAAATGAGATTCATACAGAATTTAGGATCTGAATCTGCTCTCTCTAATCCAGGGAATGTTTCAATCCTTTAATGCTTTTCGGTTCCTTATATGCCTAAGATACACTCCAGTTTATTTTGACAGTGGCCCTACTTCAAACAAAAGCTCAGCAGTTTGGTGTCTGCCCAACTACGAGATCATCCAGGGAAGAGGCCATGTTCGTCCCTGACAGGGGGTTTGTCTGGCAGGCATTGTCAACACATACTGAAGGCAAGCTGACGTGACTGGGCTCCCTACAGAGCCCTGCTGTGCTCACTACAGAAACATGAACCACACAGGAGGGTACTCCGGTGCTGCCATAAGGAAATAGAAGATTTCCAGAAAATGGTACATCAAACATTTCTTTATCCATACAGGGCTGGAAGCTCCTCAAAGGAGTGACTGGAGTTTTCATTTTCTCAGGCTGGAGACACAGCTGGAACTAGTGCTTGGTTTAGGTTTCTCACTGTTAGATGACTGTAAAAGGTGAGCCCCACAGCCTTCTCTTGGGATGATAAAGGAAGAGAGACATTCTCTGAGTGAAATGAGTGTAAGAGTCTGCCTGCAGAGAGTAAGCTATGGCTGCATGCATCTCTGCTTGAGGGATAGAAACCAGGGAAAGGATGGGATTACAGCCATACACGTTGTACTCATCATCTCCTGTATCTTAGCACTACCTGGTGCTGCACTGAATGTAATAACTTAAGTGCCTGAAAGCAAGTTTCACGAGTTCATGCTTTGGATCCCTTTCTGAGCTACCTCACCATGGACATATCTGCTTCCTGTTCCAGCTGAGCCAACCACAGAGGTTTCAGTCTTTAGCTAGCTTCTCCCCCCTCATTCCCCTTTGCATGACCCCTCAATACACACACCTCCCTTTCTCTCCCTTTCCCTGCCTTTTTGCACCAGACCTTTCCATCTTCCTCAGCCTCCCGTCTGAGCTGCTAATAAGCCATTCCTGAGAACAAAAGACAAGTTGGCAAAGACCTAAATTAATTCTGCTCAAGCCATCCCAGATACTTGCACTTAGACAGGCTGAGGAAGGTTCATAAGAGCAGGGCGGGTAAATAGAAGATTTAGGGCATGAGGGCCCTTTAGGCAGCCCTGCTGGTGATGAAAGAGTCCGTGTGGACAGAGCGAGGAACACCCAAAGAAATTTTAGAAGGATGTTTAGAGGTATTGCTTCATACGGGTGTTAAATCTGGGCTCATATAAAATGTTGTTCTAGCAATTGGCCATTTAAGCAGTCTGTTCATTGTTTCTGTTCAAGTGGCTTACACAATTGTTTGCAAAAGCTGAGTATCCAGTAACATGCAAGAATATTGGCTACTGAATTTCCCTTCAGTTAGAGGATTTTCAGGAGACTTCCCACTCGTGAATTAAGTTTGAAATTTTATATAACAAGTGATGCAATCACCTTTGGTGGTTACACTGCTGTCATGGTTTAACCCACAGCCAGACAGCTTGTTACCCACTCCCCCCCTTCTTGCCCTCCCCCTACACCTGGGGGAACGGACAGGAGAATCAAAAAGAAATGCAACTCCCATGGGTTGAGATAAGAACAGTTTAGTAACTAAGGTATAACACAAATCACTACTGCTACCACCAATAATAGTAATGATAAAGGAAATAACAAGGGAAGAGAATACAACACCCCATCACCAGGTGACCGATAACTTGCCCCCCCCCAGCCCGATCAAGCACCAACCCATACCTCCTCCAACCCTGCAGTCCAACTCGCCCTTCCGGGTAACTCCCAGTTACATCCTGGGCATGACGTGCTGTGGTATGGAATACCTCTTTGGTCAGTTTGGGTCAGGTGTCCTGTCTCTGCTTCCTCCCAGCTTCCCTCCTCCCTGGCAGAGCATGAAGCCCACAGAGTCCTTGGCCAAACCAAAACATCATTGTTTTCCAGCTCTGTTCCCAGCTCAAAGTCAAAACACAGCCCTGCACCAGCTACCAAGAAAGAGAAAAATGACTGCCACTGCTAAACCCAGGACAACTGCCATAGAATGTTTATGATTGGAGAAACAGCATCCCATATTAAGCTAAGCCTTCTGTGGGAGAAAGAGGGCTTACTGGAGTACATGTTCAATATACATAATAGATACCATTTCACAGGATTAAAAATGTGGACTCCTGAACAGTAAATTTAAACCTTCCGACTTGCTTTTAAGTTATCTTTAGCAGCTATCTTTGAAATAGTTCAGGGCCATGTCTGTATTCCCTGGTTATGAAACATGGAAACTGGACAACTTTTAAGAGGAATCGTTCTGAATAACAAAGTTTGAATGGCACCTTCAACACAAAAAGCCCTTAAAACAATGATTACAAAAACATGCAAAGAAATAACAAGGTATGATCATTACCAGTGATTTTTTTTTTTCTTCACTACATGAAAATCTAAATGAAAAAAAAAGAGGTATATTGTGTCCTTAATGAGGAGTAAATAAAATATGCTCAGGTGTATGATTGCCCTTTTCATCAGTAAAATGCTTCTCTACAATCTGGCATGTGTTAAAAACCAGAAAAAAACCCAAAGTATGATAGTTCTTTATGCCTTGGGCTAATTTGTTTAAATTTGAAATATTGTAGGGATCTAAAATTAAAACATATGCTCTGTGCATATGTTATGCAGGCACAAAACATTTTGTGTATCAAGTATTGCAGATAGGTATTCTTCTCATAAGTAAATGAAGGTGCTTTAAAAAATGCATATCTGATTTCTTTCTAGGGATATGCAGGCTAAACAAATGTGCCTTGCCTCAGTGCTGCTTTACAAGCAGAGAACCTTGAATCAAATATTTGATAAAAACCTCTGACACTCAATGAGGTATGTCATAGTAGCTTTTAAGTTTTTTATTGCCATGTCTTGAAAAAAACCCAAGAACACTGGCAAGTATTAAATATATATATGTATTTTCATCCATTCTGCCTCTTAGCAAAAAATAGAGCTTGTTAGGTATTTATAAAGCACCACATCCATTCCTGCAGCATTCCAGCAAAGCAGCTTGATTTGTTGTTTTGCAGAAAGGGAAGACTGAGAAACCAAGAAGTTAGGAGGACTTGCCCGAAGTCACGGAGTGTGTAGAATAATAGAAGCAGAAAGAAAACAGAAAAGGCCTGACTACTTATCTCCCAGCAAATGAATAATTCTCTCCTGTGCTGTTATTGAATTATATCAGAGAATCTGACATTCTCCATTTTCTTACCTCCAATAAGATTCCCTCATTGTCCAGTAATGTTTTGCTGCTTAATCAGCTCAAAGGTAATCAGAGGCATGAACCTGTTCTTCAGCCTATAAAATCCTCCTGTATTTAAACTGAAATAAGAAAGAAGCATTTAAATGAGAAAACCAAAAATCAAGATTTGTCTCACCAGGAAAATAAACACTGTAGGAGGCAATTACTGAGCAACACATATGCCATACATGGATGTAGGCTTCAGCTGTAGGGTTGATTTTCCTTGTTGAGACATAAAAAAATGATACCTAAACCCAACATGAATTAAAGAATTAGAACCCCTTATCATCTCATAGAATAATTCACTTTCCACAGGATTTTCTGAACCTTGCACTCGAGATCCGTGTTCTCAGTATGCCTGGAAACTACTCTCTGAATAGGCTCCTTGGCCACTACACTGCTTTATTGAACTCTGCTATCCTGCTAAATAATATATCCTTTCACAATACATCCACTGTTTTATTTGGCCTGTAGACCTATGGGACTCATTCATTCTTCAAAATCGTAAGTTATCAGGTCATGTACTGATTATGGAGCATAGCCAAGTTCTAAATACACAGCAACTAAATTACAGTTTCTGGGAATGTATCAATAGGATGGAATCCCATTGCTTGATCTTGATTGCCAGGTGACTCTAGTCTCTCTATAAATATAAAATACAGAAGTTTTGAAGTGGACTAAGTATGGATTTTACAGTCAGCTAGTCTTTAAACCTTGGCCTGTACAGGGCTGTATGTCCATGCTGGGATCCTGGCTGTTTCTGCCACTGGCTGTGTCCACCTTGTACCTGGCAGAACTTCCCTGGCTGCATTTTGAGCTCTAGGGTATGACCCAGTACTAGGCATCTGTTCCTCCAGGCAGACTTCATTCAGCTAAAGCCCTGGATGCCTCCTGCTGTGTCTGTTTTTGAGGCAAGCAGTATCGAGGAATTTTAAGGGAGGTTCAGCTTTTGTCTTCTCTCCCTGTCTCAGGCCATCTTTTCCCTCCCTCTTCTGGACCACTGCAATGGGGACAGCTGGAAAAACTATGGAGAAAGCCCTGTCTGATCACATGGCAGACAACTGCACAGTGCAGAAAATTAAATGTAAATTCAACTGAGATTTCTGGAAGGAACAAGCACACAGGGTGTTTCTGCAAATAACATATTTTTACTTTGAGCTCATCCCGGGAACCTCTGTGCAGCAGTGTAAGGGCAGCCACTGACAACCATATGTTCTATCCACACAGAAACGGGGGTGTACTTTCTTTTAAATCAGATCTTTAAAGACAAGTATCTATAAACTGACAGATCGATGTTATTTTTGGCCTCGGCTTGTATTAACTCAGAAGTTGGGCAGAAAACTGTTCTATTCTCTTTTTTGTTTAACTATTCAAATTAACAGATGCATTTCCTATCATTTGGTGCTTTTTCTGTCAATAACACACAAATCCCATGGAAACATGCCAAAGATTTTCTTAGCAACCAAGCCTTTTGCCTGATATACACAATTAACTACAACAGTCTGTTAAAAGCTTAAAATAAACTGTCTTTTTAGAATTCCATGTAGTGAAAGAAGATTCATTGGTAACGAATTTACCACAGTTTGGGAAGAATTTATTAATCTTTACGGATGCTGAGCACTCAAGGGATGTCATGGTAAAAGTAAGCATTGCCGTAAAGGGAAATCTGCTGGGAAGTGTCCAATGACTGTGAGTTCAGGTAAAGTAAAAGCACTTTCACCAATTGATGCTACTGGCTCCCCTACAATTAAAATGTAAATTGATTCATGCCTTGTTAGTGCATAATACTGCTGGAGAAAGCATCCTTCTCCGCCAGGAAGTAGTAAATTCCATTATGAAAGATGGGATTTTGACATGGTGTTTCTACTTCCAAGAGGGTAAACATTTTGGAGAAGAACATGCAGACTCTGGGCACTGCTTTCTAAGTCTCTGGAAGGTGAAACATTTTCAGAAAATTCACCTAAGTTATAGTTTTTATGTCTTTGCATTTGGATAAAATAAAATAGAACAAAATACCACAAGCTGTTTCCTGTTTCTGGAGAAACTTTTTTGTCTTTGCTTAGAATAATCTCCATTGACTTCATGGTCTTTGAATTGGACCCAGGGTGCAGGCTGATGGTATACGAAAAACAACAATTGTTAGATTGTTTGGATGAAAAGAAATAAACCAACAATATCTGAGGTACAGACTGACACTCACTTGAACTCAGCTTATGTGGCATGCTTTTGTCACAAGCTAACCATCCATTATGTTGCAGCCATCAAAAATCTCAGAGAGCTTTAGGTCTCTCTGTAGGTATTAGACAGAGGTAGTATTTAAATATCCTGTTTCTCTAATAATCCTGAAAGTAGGTGTCCATTAGCAGAGAATTTTTTGGCACTGAGAAAAAAAAATCCTACTAAGTAGGAGAATAAGAAGCAAAGGAACACGAAAACACAACATTAAGTCTTATCAACTGAAAATTTTAAGTATCCCTTTATTCAGGTCTTTTAAATAGTTTATGAGCAATGGCAGCTTTAGTGATCTCACAGGAAGAATGACTTCTCCAGTAAAGCTGTTTGTTTAAATTTAATGATATGCCTCCAAGTACAGTTCTTCTGATTTGTGCCTGCTGTCTGCAAGTCCAGTACATCATAACAACTCTTCCCTTCACAGGTGACCCACAAACAGCTGCCATATAGTAGTGTGGAATGATGTAAATGGCTGTGCTAAAACTTACAGCAAGTTCGACATTCTTAAAGCTCTGCAGAGCTGTGCAAAGAATAGAGATTAATTCTAGTTTTAGCAGGGTTTATGGCAAAAAAAGCTATTGGAAAAGTAAATATTATATGTAATTATGAAAACAAGGAATGCTTCAGTAACCTTGAGCTGAGTGGCTTGGGCTGTGCCCCATTGCAATTCTTAGGGGTCTGTGAAATGGTGACAAACGTCAGCATGGGGAATCATATTTGCCTGTGTTATGGCATGGTAATAAAATGCAATGACCAGTACCAACCACCTCTGTTATTAATTTCTGCTGCCAGGGGATGGGAAAGGGGCTTCCACAGCCATTTTGACAAACACATTGACATGCCTCAGTGCACTGTGCTTTCGCATGATGTTGTTTCTCACCTTCATACCTCTGTCACAGAGGTATAAAATAACCTTGAAATAACAGGGTCTTTTTTTCATTAAGATTTGGTTTATGCATGAATTTCTGAGGTAGTATAGTAGAAACTGGTCCTGTAGGTAAGGAATGTATTTTCAGTTCCTAGTCATCCAAAATACAGATGGGCATAGTTTTTTTTACTGACCTGATACATAGGTAGGAAAAACACTTCTGCAGGAACTGAGGGAAAAGTCTAACTTCTTAAGTCAATGTGATTTTTGCTGTCTGTCTGAAATAAGATGAATTTTCTGCAATAAAAATGATGTTTGAGGTAGAAAAAAAGATAATTCAAACTGAGTGATGTCACCCCTGGAGTCAACTGCTTTTAAGGCTGGGGAAGGAGCCTTCTTTTATGCACAATGCAGTAGTTCAGTTCTCATTAATTTCAATTAGAAGTTGATGAAGTTCTTTGGTTTATTACGCTGTCACTTGCACTACATTTTCAAATTGCACCCAGACATGAAATATTCTCACAGGCAGTAACTGCTCACAGGGGATTTTCTGCAGTGCAAGACACGTAATGAATCCCAACTCATTATTATTATTAATTATTTGTATTACTTTATAGCGTAGGAGTTGTAGTCATGGATCAAGACCTCACTGCATGATGCACAAAGCCAGAATGAAAAGGCCATTACTTGCTTGTTAGTGGCCTTGCTTAGCTTAAGAGCCTGCATTTGGATTTTCACCTTTCCCAAACCCAAGCAATGCTATCTGACCAGTCAATTGTGTTATCCAATAAGTGTTCAAACTGCCCTTGAAAACATCTGTTAGAAACCAGCGCTGTCCAGGCAGCCATCCTTACTCAGCTGACCCTGGAGGAAATCCTCAGGCTGAGAAACTCCTCTTATTCACAGCAGCATCAGTCCCCTGGTGCTCCTCTGCCTGCCCTCCCCAGCCTCCCCACTGCTCAAGAGCAATGAGCACCTTCCAGCCCTGCCTGGTCCATGCCATTACCACTTTGTTGCACAGAACTGTCACTAAGATTTTTTTGTAAGTGGTAAGAAAATGCTGAGATATCTTGTTGTACGTAATGGACTCAGGAAAAAAATGGCAGTCACATTTGGTATCTGCTCGTGACTTCCCTCCTGGCTTTGCCATTGAGGGTCTCAGAGCCCTTCCATTCACATCAGATGGCTTTCCTGGGGCAAAAGGATGCTACTGGCCCTCCATGGTCTAAAGCAGATGCTAGGAGACAGGATTAATGCAAAAGCCACCCTCTGAGTACCGTTGCTAGGGCACAGCTAATTTGAGGCCAGAGAAAAGGATGCTGCAGGTATCTGTGTGGGCCTGGGCAGGAGCTCCGGGTAAGTGGTGGAGAGCGAAACTACATCTCCTAGAAGAGTTATGCCACAAATAAATGTATTTGATACATATGATGTTTGACATGCCTACATCTATATTTATGCAAGTTACAGGAGTCTGAGGATGAGAGGCGTGACTTGAAGCATATCCCAGTTCTAGGGCCCTAACTGCCTGCAGCATGGGATGGCCAGCACAATCCTCCCCCATGAAGAAAGGAGCCTGGGAGAAGTTTGGCTAAGATCTGCACTAGTCACTCTGGGAGCTGATAATTGTTAAAGACGTGCCAGAAAGATAGGCCTGGATTGAACAGAGGAGAGAGGTCCAGATGTTAAATCAGCTTTATCACCTGCGTAGAGATAATTTGCTATTTATGGGATCAACCAGCAGCTACACATGAGAGAAAAGAAGCAAGAGCGGAGCTCCACTGGAGCATCCCAGAAAGAGAAGTGGGTGACAAGGATGGCCTGAAAATCATGTTAAGGTTTTTGAGAAACAGAAGGAGAAGCAGGAAGGGAGAGGTCTGGAAGCTGGGGAAGAACAAGGAAGGTATCTCTCTGTAGAAGGAAGTATTTGTTCTGCAGTGAGTTGTCACATTTGGTTGTCGCAGCTGCTAAATTAGCTGGCAGGTATTTCTGCCTGACTCCAGTATACAACTCTCTCTTTTTCCAGTAGATCTGGAAGGGTGCTGGTTTGTCCTTGTCCACCCGGGCTGGGTCCACCAGCAGAACACATTCCAGGAGGTAACTGCCACCTAAGCCCTAAGTCACACAACGTGATAGAAGAGTGTTTGAAAACTCAATTTTTCAGCAAGGGGAAACTGTTTCTTACCCATCACTAGCTACAGTTTTATCAGGTGTCTGAGGCATCTCTATGTGGAAGGGGAACTTCACTGTGGGTTGATGAGAAAAGCAATGAGATCCCAACTGTTTCCTCAGATAAACAAATGGGGTCTTGCCAGGATTTACAAAGTCTCAAAAGGGCAAACTGACCTTCCTATTCCATAAATAACAACAAAGGATGCCAAGAACAGAAACAAGAGCAGCAGTCACCAAAATTAATGAAGAGAGAAGAGGATGTCAAGGTGGAGAAGCATCAGTGTAAAAGCACAGCAGCAATGATTGTGTCCACAAGATGAAGAGAAACAAAGGGAATTAATTCTCTTCGTCACTGAAGGATGCTCCCTGGAAATAGATGGACTCAGTATACAAATACGTATTGCTCTGTCTGTTCTGGAGGCTTCACTCACATTTCTTTGATTATAGAAAAACACCTTGTTAGTCTGATCCTGTCACAAACTGGCTGGTGTATGCCAACAGCAACTATCTTTTGACATACATTTTTTGGCATGCAAAAGTGCATTTAGTGGGAGAAGCAAGAAGAAAATAAACGTAGCTACATACAAGAATGTAAAAGCCATTAAAGGGATTGTGAAATTAACCATACTTCTGGCAACCTGGTATCAGTTCTAGTAAATATAACAAAAGAGCAGATATGGGATTTCATCATTAAACAAATAGAAGGAGAGATGTACAAGCAATACCAGTAAGAAGATAAGAAAAACAAATAATTTCCAAAGCAAATCAGTCCTGTTTTGATCATGTCACAGATTTGGTTGGTAAATACATGAATGCAAATCAAATATATGAACTATATGTATATATACATGAAATTTTAATTATTATAGATTATATTTCTGCTGAATCATCACCAAAATGGTAGATGATAAAACCAGTTAACTGACTGATCTCAAACTTAAACATACCTAAAGAATCCTCACTAAGGAAGTTCCTTTTTAGTGTGCTTCCCTATTTCTTCATATTATTTAACTTTTATCAGTGAAATTGAAAGCTAATTGTATCCTGAGCTGCATCCAAAGGAGTGTGACGACGAGGTCAAGAGAGCTGATTCTGCCTCTCTAATCTTGTGAGGCCCCATCTGCAGTATTGTGTTTGGCTTTGGGGGCCTCAACACAAGAGGTATGTGGAACTGCTAGAGTGAGTCCAGAGGAGGGCCATAAAGATGCTCTGAGGACTGGAGCACCTCTGCTACAAAGACAGGCTAAGAAAGCTGGGCTTGCTCAACC